GATAAAGAATCTACTTGTCTCTCATTTATGATTAACGTATCTTTATTGTACAAATATCATAATCAGAATTGTTCATTCTTTTTAGTATCCTTTAAAGATCTGTTGACCCTAAAAACTACCAAGCCTACATGGCGTACAGGCCGAATAATTAATAAGCTAACTACGTCATTTGGTTGCGTTCGGGGCTTGCCAACTCGTCGGCCAAGTTCGGCCAGGGAGTAAAATATGTTGAAGTGGTGTTGGGCGCACTATTAACTTCTTAATCTTGCAACTGCGGCTGAGGAAGGAACACGTCTCGACCTTCGGGTTCTAGAGCCTGAAGACAAGGTTGCTAGTTCTACGAAGTTCAATTTCAAATTCGGCTTTCAATGTGCCGAATGTAGTAACCTGGTAACACCTCATTTCACCGAAAATGATGATGAGACGACCTCTACCAACAAAGACTTGAAAATCCTTGTTGGGCAGGACTTGGATAAATAACCAGTCAGTCTTGAAGCAGTGTTGTCTATCCAAACTGAAGGTGCTCCTCGGTCAGCTGATTTTATGAGTCTAGTGTTGTCTATCCAAACTGAAGATGTTGTTGGTTGCTTTCACAGTGCTGTCTGTCCAAACTGAAGATGTGTTGGCGAGAAGAATGGCCAAGAGGAAAAAATCTCAAGGTTGCGGAGAAGTTTTGTGCAGGATAATTCGTGTGTTGATTTGGAGAGGCGTCCTCTATTGCAAAGCACTTGTATTTATAGCATTCATATTCTCTGCTTGGCACAACTTGATAATTTTGCAAAGTCCAACTGCAACTCAAACTCGTGGAAAGAAAATTAATCTGTGTGAGAGGGCTATCCTTTAGACTGTTATCTGTGCATTCTCAAACAAAACAAAAGCCTATCAAGGTTTATCACATCATCATCAGAACTCCATCAGTAACCTTGCTTTATCCCATTAAGACTCCTAATGCAATTATAAAGCCTTCTTTTTCCATGATGTCTGTCCAAGTGCAACCATACATGCAAAGTAAATTACAATTTAATTGCAATATCAGCTAATCACTTGAGATACCATCTTCCACAAAATACCACTTTGTATCAGGAGTCCTAATAATGCATGACTCACGTGGCCAAAGCAATACCACAAAAGAAAAACATATTCTCCAGTGTCCTATTTTGCATGCCTACTCTTTGTGCTCTAGATGACATTTAGATAATTTTAATATCTCGTTTAAGAGATAAATATATGATTTAAAAATCATAATTTTATCCTTTAAATAATAATTAAATATTATCCTAGCAAATCCAACAGTTTAAAATTCACTCATTCAACAGCCTTGAATGCCTACGCCTGTATTGTAAAATCGGGTCCAAATATTGTCTTCCAATTTCCTTGAGCTTCGACTTGCGTAGTCGAATGGTTGAGGAAATTAAAGTTTTAAAGCTGGGTCGCAGAACTTTTAAATTCATTTTTCAACTTTGGTTCTTCAAGCTTCTCGATCGAAAAGGACAAGACCAAAAAAATAATATCACTGAGCTTGGTAAAAGAACAAATAACCCTCGGTCATCGAATTCATATCCTAAGCAATGCATCAAACTATCGTTACTTTCTCGGCTTGGTGCAATTAGAAAATTTCTTGGACCAAGTGACTAGCTCTCTAGTCACCACTTCGCAAAGCTGATCGACACTGGTTGTAAGAGTTGAAAATAGTGGTGGAAAATAATGATCAATAGTCTGAGGTAACCCAGCCTAATCTTGCAGTTCAACTCAAGAAGTGTGATCAGATTAACTTATGCATGCTCACAGCAGTTAAGTATATCAGCTTCCACCAGCACGACGTCAGCGATCATGATGACAACATCCCATGCAATTCAATGATGAAATCTAAGCCCTGGAGGAAATCGCAGAATGTTATTGTAATCTAGGCCCTGAATCATGTTGACTGTCGGACAAAAAATTAAAATTCGAATAACTGATATCCACAGCAAACGTTCAAGATTGACATCGACGCCACCGAATGGTCTGACACCACCGAACTCAACACATCTTTGTCCAACACCAAAACTCTATGTGCATACTGCGTGTCGGCAACCCAAAAGTCAAAGAGGACATATACATATGAACATATATTATATTGGCCCTCCAACCGAATGAGAAATTACTTTTTCCTCTTAACAAGTGCAACCATTCACAAAGACCCAATAATCAAGTTTCCAAACGTGTAGGACTCGGCTAAACGTAATTTTGAAGATGAGTGACATGATCATTATGGCCGAATACCAACCAACAAACCTCACCTCATTGAGATCCAAGGTCGTGCAGACCCACTGAATGAGAGATCCAACTCCATTGAATTTCTCTTCTTGACTCTCGGCCTTTGAAATCCATCGCCTTGCTGCACTTACCCTCGGCCTAAACGGCCGAAAGTTTTTTTTTTTTTTTTTTTTTTTTTTGGTTTTGTATGAGGTCAAGATGTTCGTTGCCCCTCCTATTTTTGTATGCATCATTGACTCAAACAGCCAGACGGATAAGATTTTTTTTTTTTTTTTTTTTTTTTTTTTTTTTTTTTTTTTTTTTTTTTTTTTTTAGTTTTGTATGAGGTCAAGATGTTCGTTGCCCCTCCTATTTTTGTATGCATCATTGGCTCAAACAGCCAGACGGATAAGAATATATATATATATATATATATATATATATATAATAAAATTAAAAAAAAAAAAAAAAAAAAAAAAAAAACTGAAATCTAACATACAGGAATAATAGTGCCCGATCCATGAGAAGGAGGAGGCCAACAATGTTTTATTCCTAGTTAAGATGTTTTCATATTAAAATTCTCAATTTGATTTCGCTTTAGGCCGAATAAAGAATAATCTCCAAATACTTTTGACTTGGCGAAATTTTTTTGAATCTCAGCCACCGAATATGTTGAACAATTATCAAGCCTCTCAGGCATAATAATTTTGCCAATCTCGACTTTAACTCGAATAACTCAGCCAAATAGGATTGCTCCACATCGGTTTTATCGCCAATAACCATATCAACTGTCATGGTTTCGACATCTAAGATCACGTCTCCAATTACCATATCAATTGATGTGGTTTTTCCGTCTGAAGCCGTGTATCGGCCTTGTTCGTCATTGGAACACTCCTTTGACGAATCATTTTCTGAGTCAATCTTTGTATTTGGCTTAAAAACTTGAACTTTTTCTTCTAGGCCTACCAAACTTTCAGCCTCGACCTCAAAAATTGGTGGTTTAGGTTTTCTTCAGTCGACTTGACAATTTTCCTAGGCCGAAGTTTGATTGTGGCCGGAGGAAAATTGCCCCTGCCTTTTGATCAAACCATTCTTCAAATTGAATTGATTTGTATCCAAAACCTAAAATTGTTTTCTTATCAAACCACTCATAAAATCGAGTTCTATCTTCATTTAACCATTGATCATGTAAGCTATGATGAACTTTCACCTTTATAATTTGAGAAAAAGATTTTTGCCTTTCTTCACATGCTTTAAGAATCTGTTTCGCATGAAGTTGAACTAGGAATGCGTCTAATCGGCTGAACGAAGCCGGATTAACATCTTGATATATCATATGAACTTCATAGTATTAACACGGGGTCCCACTGCGCATGCCAAAATGTTGACCCTAAAAACTACCAAGTCTACATAGCGCGCATGTCAAGTAATTAATAAGCTAACTACGCTCTTCGGTTGCATGCAAGGCGTGCCAACTCGTCGGCCAAGTTCGGTCGGGGAGTAAAATATGTTGATGTGATGTTGGGCGCACTGCTAACTTCTTGATCTCGCGACTGAGGCCGAGGAAGGAACACGTCTCGGCCTTTGGGTTCTAGAGCCTGAAGATAAGGTTGTTAGTTCTGCGAAGTACAATTTCAAATTTAGCTTTCAATGTGCCAAATGTAGTAACCTGGTAACACCTTACTTTGCCGACAAGGCTGATGAGATGACCTCTACCAACAAAGACTCGGAAATTCTTGTTGACTGAGACTTGAATAAATAACCAGTTGGTCTCAAAGCAGTGCTGTCTATCCAAAATGAAGGTCCTCCTCGGTCGGCTGATTCTACGGCTCCAATGCTGCCTATCCAAACTGAAGATGTCGCAGGTTGCCTTCACAGTGTTGTCTATCCAAACTGAAGAGGTGTTGGTGAGAAGAAAAGGGAAGAGGAAAAAATCTCAGGGTTGTTGAGAAGCTTTGTACAGGGCAATTTGTGTGTTGATTTGGAAGGGCGTCCTTTGTTGCAGAGCACTTGTATTTATAGCATTCATATTCACTACTTGGCACGGCTTGATAATTTTGCAAAGTCCAACTGCAACTCAAACTTGCGGAAAGAAAATTGATCTGTATCAAAGGGCTATCCATCACACTGATATAAGTGCCTTCTCAAACAAAACAAAAGCCTATCAAAGCTTATCACATCAACTCCATCAGTAACCTTGCTTTATTAAGACTCCCAATGCAACTATAAAGCCTTCTTTTTCCATGATGTCTATCCAGGTGCAACCATACATGCAAAGTAAATTACAATTTAATTGCAATATCAGCTAATCACTTGAGATACCATCTTCCACCAAATACCACTTTGTACCAGGAATCCTAATGATGCATGACTCACGTGGCCAAAGCAATACCACAAAAGAAAAACATATTCTCCAGTATCCTATTTTGCATGCCTACTCGCTGTGCTCTAGATGACATATAGATAATTTTAATATCTCATTTAAGAGATAAATATATGATTAAAAAATCATAATGTTATCCTTTAAATAATAATTAAAAATTATCTTAGCATATCCAATAAATTAAAATTCGCTCATTCAACGCCCTTGAATGCCTAGGCCGATATTGTAAAATCGGGCCCAAACAAGATCATATGTGCAAAAAATGATTCAATTTGAAGATCGTTTAGCTATTCACATGTATAAAAAAATGGACGATTCATCATATGAGGATGCTACTTGATAACAAATTTGTCGATCAGTTTGACATGGATGACTAGCTAAATGATCTCCAAATTTTTTTGCCTATAATCTTCAAAAGATAATAAAAAGAATAAACAGCTCTAATAATAATATTTATATAATAAAAATACATTAATTATAAATGGAAGACAAGTAAATTCCACCGTTGAACACAATCAGTATCCTTATGGAAAATTCTGGAACAAAGTTAGGACTTTATATGGGAACGTGCTATCAGTCATCTTCTACTATGGTCAAAGAAAAGAAAGGAGACAAAACACTTTTTGTTAGTGGACAATTAATCAAAAATTATAATGGTAGATTCTAACTAAGTGGGCATCATATTCTAGAGAAATATTAATATAATCTGAATAATTAACTGCATATATGTTTAGGACATGCATTGCTACAGAATTAATGGTTTAGACCACACAGTGACTCGGAAAAATAAATAATTTTTCTTTCCTTTCCTAATAATCTAATAAACTTGCATTATTGAGCACCCTAGTAGGAAATAAACAGTTACAAGCCAAAATTATCAATAATTCCCAGAGCCACATCACAAATATGCTTCAATCCCTCCTCTCTTCTTGCAAGTTCTGGAGGATAAGCCAAACCTGGGTACCTTTTGAAAGCATTGTGGCAGGCATTTGGGTAGTCAGCTGCTGCAGTGATGTGCATGTAAGCATAATCATAAGACTCTGAACCTAAATCCTGCACTGAAGCTTGAAGGGCATCACCGACGTAGCCGTACTTGTCGGCACACTCCTTGAGGACCTTCTTCAAGTTTGTGTCATTGATGCTTGAGCTGATTAGCTGAGAGGACAAGTACGATGAGGTAGCAGTTGCGTTTGCCATTCCAATCCCAACCATAATAACTGCCAACCCCTTTGTGTCTGCATTTATGCTTGTGGGAACAGATTTGAGGGATGAGACGCAAAGGCCATAGTACTTGGTGTTTTTGCATGTGTTCTGGATCAGGGTTGAGTCAGCTTGGATGAGAAAATTAGGGTTTTGGCGAGGAAATGCAACTGTGAGAAGAAAGAGCAAGAAAATAGTAGAAGAACTCATCTGAGAGGATTAATGTAATTTTCTTTGACTCTAGATTTTGCTATGGAGGAAGAAAAAGGGGTGGAAAGCCAGATAAAAGGATTCAAAGGAATTTTAATGTTTTACTTATTTTTCTATGGTTGCAAATTGCAATGTGAGAGGTCAGAGATGTAGGTGTTTTCACTTTGTGTGTCGAATGAGCTGTGTATATAATTAAAGAGGAAGGGGCACTATTTGACAGGGGGCTATGAAACCATGCTATGCATTGAGGCCTTATTTGGCAGAAACCTAAATGCCAAAACATGAGTCACGGGTCACAGATGAACAACAGTTGAGGCTCTCAATCCAATCTTCTCTTTTTGGTAGCGTTTGGTACGTGGGAATGGATGGAATGCAGTGGGACAAGACGTTCCGTCCCGTGAGTCAAAAACAGTGGAACTCGCTGTCCCACATAACAAGTTTTGGCTGAATTTTTGTTCCATCTCACCCCTGGAACGACTCATTCCACCTTCGTGGAACACAAAATTATAACATTTTTGATAAAAATGCCCCTTATCTTTTTCAATATTTACACCCTCTAAAACAAACCCTAATACATTCTCTTTCGCTGCCTTTCTTTTCCCGAAGCCTTCCTCCTCATCCTCTCCCACAGCCACCGACTGCACCCAGCCAGCAGGCAGCAGCACGGAGCCACTTCCACCCGTAGCCTTCTCTCTCTTCCTCGCACGCCCCCACCCTCCGCCGTCTCCTTTCTCCCTCTCCTCCCACCTGTCCCTGCTGCCTCTCTTCCGCTGCATTGCTTCCTTAGCAACTCCTCTCCCTCACCGCCATACGACATTTCACCACCCCCCCCCCCCCGGAGGCCGCTTCATCCTTATCACGAAACCCTGGAGCAGGAGATCTGTAAATCGATTCTTCGTCCTGGCACCATCTCCAAGGCTAGGACTTACGCCGATGTCAACGTGATCCGACCCAAGGACTACTGGGACTACGAGTCCCTCACTGTCCAATGGGGGTAATAAACTGATGAAATTCTCTTGTTCTTGTTTGGATTGTGAGAAAATTGAGGAAAATCTGGTTTATGGTGGGAAAATTGAATTTTGATGGATAAATGTTTTTGCTTTTTTGAATTAATTGTGATTAATGTATAGGGAGCAGGGTGATTACGAGGTGGTGAAGAAGGTTGGGAGAGGAAACTATAGTAAAGTGTTTGAAGGGGTTTACCGTAACGATAACGAAAAATGTATTATCAAGATTCTCAAACTTGTTAAAAGAAGAAGGTAAGTTCTGAATTGCATTGCTTTTACCTTCTTATGTGAAGAAGATTGACAATTTGTTGTTCTTATCAGTTGGGTAATTCTATTTGTTTCGTTCTTGCTTTCATGTATGCCGGACTAATATTTCATGTAATGGCTGATTCTGTACTTGTGTACGGCTGGTGTTTTCATAGAATTAAGTTTCCTAGAGTGGAAAGTTAGTGTTCTTTCATTTATTAGATACCTAATGAATGAGGATAGTGTATTGGAAGAGTTTGAGTGAAATCCTATCATGATTTTTTTCATGAAGTGTCGGTGCAATCTAGTCATTGGAAACTGCAAAAAAAAAAACTTTAATTTGAAGGTTTAACCAACCCCAAGAAACAATTTTGACTGCCCCTGGCATATGAAGTAAAAGTTTTCTTTTGTACAAGAGCTTTGTTTTGAATCATTGTGGTGACGCTTACTTTTCTGTTTGGTTCGAAATGCAGATTAAGAGGGAGATAAAAATATTGCAGAATCTCTGTTGGGGGGGGGGGGGGTCAAGTCAGATGTGAACTCAATGGAGTGATGATCTTGTAAGAGAAATATACGATGAGTGGAGAGAAAGGAGGGCTTGAAAATTGGTTGAAATAGTAGTTGCTGTAATTGTCTTTTATTGTTTTATGACAGTTTGATGAGATGATTGGTGTAATTATTTTTTATTGTTTGAAGACTACTGAGATATAGACATGTATGTAAGCCTACTCCCGGAAAATAGAGACTCATAATTTTTACAATTATACTATACATATTGTTTGAATGTTGCCTCTTCACATCATTGATCCGATAAGCTTCAAACATGTTGAAACAAATCATGGTATTGTTATAAAATATAGAATTCATGGCATAACATATCTTCAGCCAGATGCTAGTGTAAAAAAATATATTGTAGATAAGTATATGTGTTCAAAATATGAACAAGTTCAAAAAAAAAAAAAAAGTATATATATATGTTCTATCCCGTCTCACGCATAAACATTGTACCAAAAAATAGACGGAACAGGGATAAGTTAATCATTTAATCTTTTGGTTCCGTTCCGTCCAACGAATACCAAACACAAAACGGAACAATCGTCCCGTTCCGTCTAGCGCGTGTCAAACATAACACGAAACCTCCAGTCCGTCCCATCTCATCCTGTCTGCGTACCAAACGGTACCCTTGAGTACTGGAATGATTTGGTTTTATATTGGCAATCTTGATGAAATGTTTTGGCCAATAAACAATGAAGAGAAAAAGTTTGGAATTTTTTGTGATCCAAAATAATTAATGTATTTTATCATATTTTGGAAAGAGACCAAATTTTGTTAAAAGATAGATCTTTATCTCCTTATTTATACTTTTTGTCTCTATCCTCCTTTTTCTTCTTCGTTATTTTCTCTCTCCTCTCCTCCTTTGGTTTTTTATTGGAAATCTTGATGAAATGTTTTGGCCAATAAACAATGAAGAAAAAAAGCTTGGAATTTTTTGTGATCCAAAATAATTAATGTATTTTATCATATTTTGGAAAGAGACCACATTTTGTTAAAAGATAGATCTTTATCTCCTTATTTATACTTTTTTGTCTCTATTAAAGATAGATCTTTATCTCCTAATTTATACTTTTTGTCTCTGTCCTCCTTTTTCTTCTTCATTATTTTCTCTCTCCTCTCCTCCTTCGTCCTCCTCTCTCTCTTCCTTCCTACCTTTCTTTCTTTCTTTCTTTCTTTTTCTCTCTCCTCTTTCTTCTTCACCACTCTCTCATATATTTATTCTTCATACTTTTCTCTCTCCATCATCTTCTTCTTTTTCATATTGTTTCATATATTTATATGAAACGAATTTACCATCATCATGACATTTTGTTTCAATAATACAATATCATCACCGCAAGACATTTCAATTTTGGATTGAGACGTAATATGATGGTAAATCCATTCCTTGTAAATTACTCTCCTTTTAAAAAAATTCATCGTTTTGAATATTTATGGATGAGTCATGAGTGAGGGGGTTAAAGATAGCTTTTAGTATATTTTGTGCAATTGTATATGAAGATTTAAAAGGTTAAAATGTGAAGGTTAATTATAATTGTAAGGCTATTTAATACTACGGTCTGGTAGTATTCTTCTTCATTTGTAAGTGAGAGGTCTTAAGTCCGAATCTCGTGAATAGCGAATTCAATACCAAATTAGGTTATCCATTGTGAGGCTTAGCCAAACTTATCGCTGTACTAGAAAAAATAATTTATAATTGGAAGCTGATTGGTAATGGTGGAAACGTGCTCACTAGCTTCCTAAATAATATAGTGAGACTCCTATCTCAACAAACTCGAACATCAGTCAAATGATCTTAATGTAGGAGAAGATTGACTTAACCGTGTTATTAAACGATTCTGTTCATTTTAATACCAAAGATTTATTTGGGACCATGACCAAAACAACACGGTTCAATTGAAGTTTACTAGTTAAGCGTTTTCAGTTAAGGTTTAGTGTGTAAAGTTTAAAACAATGTAATTAGAGAAGTCGGATCCGATATTGATACTTACGTACGGTAATTAAAATTCTAATTAGGGTTGAGGGATTATAAGCGCTTTTATCTTGTGGATCGCAGACATTAAAAGCGCTCGTAATCATAGCATTTGTTGGTTATTGTACAGATTTTGACTTGTTAATCATGAAAATAAAACGGATTAGCGTTTTTCCATTCTTTTTTCCTTCTTTGACTAGGAGTAGATATTCATAGCATACGCATGGATTGGAGTCATTTAACTACGATTACTCCTTTCTTCTGTTTTCATTTATGCAACAGTCCGATTTATCAATGGCAAAGGGAGCATAGTAATCCAAAACAAAAAGAGATGGCTAATACGAGCTTTAACTGAAGTCGACGGACAAGTGCTGCTAATTTCTCACCAAGTATATACATGACTCAAAATACCATAGCCATCAATGATTCAATCATTTGAATTGACCACCTTACTAAGCATATTATCAAACACGCTACCCAACAGACCAAGAAGCAACACAGCAGAAAGTTTGACAACACCCAACTTCTGAAATGGAATATCAAACTAGACTTGATACAACTGATCCAAGAACACCACAATGCAATAGACAACATAAACGAGTATTGCAGTGCTAAACTGTAAACTTGCACCCAAGTCTTTTCACTATAAAGAAAGACTGTCCTATAGACAACACGTCAGGTGAACAATCGCCTTTCAAGATTTAAGTTAATATTGCATTCCAACTAATTTAATCAATAAACTTCCCGAACAAAGCTGCAGATGTTTTAGATTTTTTTCCCGTACACTCTTCTTTAACTGTTGCCAATGATTGCTTCCAAAATGTATGTGCCGGTCTCAAAATGCTTCGCTGTGAAATGTCTATACCAGCTAAGCCACTGTTTCAGCGCTTATAGAACACTAATTCTCGGCTACAATTGTTTTTGATAGCTTCCTCCAATTTCTCAATACGGTCAAAATCAACTTGGTAAGTAACCATGGTGATACCATCTTTACCAGTCTCATAATCTTGCTTGATGTCTTCAACGTGAAAAGATTGTAGCTGTAAACATCGCATCTTAATATAAGATATGGATACACTTTAGAGATTTGACCATCAAAATGCAAAAGGGAGAGTTATCATAGTGCATCCAAACCAGCTCACCTGATGGTATAGAACGCCCAAAAGATCAAAGGGAACCTCGACCCCCATTCTTACCTAGAAGAGAGAAAGGATAAGATCATATAATTAAACGTTCTAATGATACAGAAAATGAAATGATTTACGGGTGCAAAAAATAATACAGACTTAACTCAAATTAATTGAAACTTATT